AGATAGTCATTGAAACCCATCTTTTCTTCGTCTACATTTCGATATTGTCCGCACTGGTCAAATCTGGTGATCAACCACCCGCCAGGGCCACCTCAAGCGCTTGCGGTTCTTGGGATCCGTTGGCCTGGACAGCTGCATGCCTTGTCTCTGTACTGGCCGGCGCGGGGGCAACCTCTGCAGGCACCGGCCTTCTTCTATCCACCGGAGATGCTCGCCTCCAATTGGTTCCTTCCAGTCTGCCGCTTATTGGCGCAGCCGAAAGACACTTCCCCTTTGGCGCGGAGGCTGACTGCTTCTGCCTCTCCAACGGTCTGAGAGCGTCCGTCTCATGTGAAGTCGGTCTCGTCTGTTCTCTACTTGTGCATGTGTGCATTGACTGAGGGCATGTTCGAGTTGACCATCGGATACGAGGTGAAGGCAAGAGTGAAGCAGACGCGCAACACGAGCCCAAATGTATCGGGCCTGGTTGCTGCCGCGACGACGGTCGAGTGGGTCACCCGTTTGGGCAACTAAATGCTCGGTCAGTTCGGCGTCAGGCGGCGACAGCCCTTGCTTCGCAGCCATGGTCACCTCAGCCGACCGCAAGCAGACGCGTTGCCAAGGCGACGGCATCCCCGAGGGTCGTCGCAGCTGGGACCACAGCCTGCAAGAGAGGCTGACAACGCTGCCGGACCATGCAACCGCAACTGTCGTCAGCCTCACCAACAGACCCGGCCAGCGAATGGGTCGAATGACTGCACCGAGGCACAGGTTGTCAAGCGACGGAATGCCCAGAAACCTGTCGCCCATGAGCTACAGAAGGCATTCGGTCAACAGACTCCGCACCCAGCCCAACTCAGAGGGTGGAATGTGCCGTCTTTCACGACCCATAAAGCCGGCCAATTGCATGCTGCCTTCGCGTGGACCTTTGCAGCATCGACAGTCACTTAGCACGAGTATGACGTCTTCATCGCAGTCGTTGTCACCGTCGCGCTCCGTGAGCATTGCTGGGGCGACACAGTCAGGTCTCACATGCGACAATGCCTCGGCCGACTTCGCGGAGATCCAGCGGATGGTGGAACTGAAAGACGGACAGGAAAAATGGGTGAGGAGAGTGAGGTTTGAAGGGCCGTCAGGAATAAGTGAACTCTGAACTTTTCCAATCGGCTAAGTAGGTCAAGAGGAGGCTTTCATTTCATATGA